ACGAATTATATATTGAAGAGAGATATTGAATGAAGAGGGGCTTTGGCTGTTTAGGGTTTTAATTATAGAAGTGGAGAAGTATAAACCTTGTAAAATTAGGAAAGGATTTGGATATCTACAATGATTCTCTTGACAAGATTTTGTAATTGAGCCGTTAAATATTAAATTGTATTTATATGTAATGATTTTTTTTTTTTTCAAATATTAAATTCATTCTCAATTCCAAAATTAATTCATTTTTCTTATATAATTAAAATATTATTTCGTAATTTTTTTTTTCTCCACCTACTAAATTCATTCTCATACCTAAAAATAAATTCATTTCCTCTCGTATATTACATTCATATTTCACAATGTCACGGATTAACCACATTAATATTATTTTAAAACTAATTAAAAATATAATAATAGTATTAATTATAAAATCACAATTCGTACAGAAATAAATAAAATAAATATTGTTCAAGTCCGCGAATCGTATATTTAAGGTATATAACTATATATATATCCTAAAATAAGTATATACCAAATAATCAATATATATGTATATCTATAACATATCTTGTCTGCATAATGGGGTTTTGATGCCTCCAATTAGAACATTAAGATATCCTGTCTTTGGTTGTTTTTAAGTTTTTTCTAAAGTTAACAAAAATACATAATGTCACTCACCATAATAAAAGCGGTGGAATTTAGAAGAAAAATATAGCTAAAATTTATGGAATATATTTTTATTTTGTAAATAAATTGAAAAATCTCTTAAAAATTACAAATGAAAAGAAAGGAGGAAATACTTTTAATTCAAAGAAAAAATAAGAGTTCTAAAATTATTGCACGTGATTAAAAATATTAAAAATAAGAGTATTATTACTTTAATTTTAAAATGATTAAAGTAAAAAAAAATTGAATAATTGTCGCGAGCATATGTATTGCACGTACCATCAAGTTGGACGAAGATGAAAAATCATGCTACCATTAGTAATATATAAGGGAGTTTGACGAAAATTTTAAAATAACAAAAGCAAACACGCATATTGCGTTAATACGGGGGAGTCGTGTATATTTTACCCTTGTAATAATATCTAATTTGTTAATAGTAGTAGTGATTTTCTTGTTCCCATTCTTGTGTGTTGCAATGAGGAAATATGAATGCACCAACAAAGGAAAAACAAAACAAAGAAAACATGAAGAAAAGCAAAATAAATCATATGATAACCCTTCCATGGCAGACACAAATTGAACTTAGAGAAAGAACATACAGAACCAGAGATGGAAAGAACATACAAAACTTTAGATTAAATGTATACATCTTCATTCATCTTGCTCTATGGTCTTGTACATCTGAAACCACTAATGTACTACACAAACAATGGACAACACTCGCCCAAACCTCTTGCACGACTCGTCAGGAAATAGTCGCTAAGCTAACATGAAGAAACACAATGTATAAAACTAATGCCAGGGTAAGATTGTGTCTTTCCTGTAAAACTATACCTTCTCATTCTCTCCCTCGAATCATGCACAAAAATGCCA